TGTGGGAGAAGGCGAAGACAACTGCGGATAGCCCTTGTTAGGCCGTACTTGGAGGCCCCCGTTCCCTGATTGTAGGAAACAAGCATGGTAACGACGACTGCAGGAGCTTGGGACAGTTGACAGGACAGTTGACAGTTCCTTCTCCTCTGGGGGGTGTCGGGGACTGTTAAGGACAAAATGTGACCACGCGGTGCGGCAATGTTTGCCGACATGCTCACCATTTCTCTCGTTGGAGAGTTGGGGCTGCAACCAAGAAGTTCATCGGCAAACCAATGTGGGTCAAGCCCGTGGGGTCTAGCGTCTACGCAGCTGGAATCTGGGTGATCAAACAAAGCAAATCACACAACTAGATCTCAAGCACTTGGGGCATGAGCGCCAAGAACACTGCCCCACAGTTGCACTGGGCTACATGAAAATGAAGACACGACGCAACCAAGCTCATCAAACTAAATGGCTTTCGTTGCCTGCTGATTTTAAAACACATCAGTGAAAAGGTCGTCATGGGACACAGCACGCCAAGCAAGTTCTATAGGCACCCGGCACGCTGCTTGAGATCTAGGCTGTAAACTGGGAGACTTGCGAGTTGGATGCAAGCGGAGGACCTGTGCACAAAGGCCGGCAATTCACCAACTGGCAATCATGAATCCACAAGGAACGAAAGTTCATCATGGGGTGAGGCGAACTTGGTATAAGGCTGCACGGCATCCAAATACAGGCTGGCAAGTGGTTGGGTATCGGAGCTGATCTTGGATGACTTAACCGTAGGTGTTCATGGAGAACTTCCTGATTGATAACAAGGGGTCAATCATCAGGGGCCACGTTTTGCCACACACGGACATGCAAGCCGCACGTCAGGCAGCCAAATGAGGCAATGTCAACTGCTTTGGAGCGCACAGGTCAAATTGGTTCTGCGCGATCGATACGTGGCCAACTTCTCAGCTCTGAAGTAGATGTGTAATTGGGTCGACAAAAGGAAAAGCTGTTGCTTCACAGGCGTTTCCCACAAAATCGCTTTTTCCAAAGGTATGACATCCAAAATCGTAGCCAGTCTTCGATGGTCAGGCATTTGCTGCCCCTTCAGGTTATATGCAAAGGGAATGGAAATACCAAAAAAGGATTATAAAGCATTATTCTGTAAACACCGTCGTATCTCTAGCTGTCTTCTCTTTGTCTGGGGGTTGCACATCATATCCTAGAACCAGGCATGAAAGCAGGAATTACACTCAAATATTTGTCTTGGAGAAGATTCGAGAAGATTCCATGGGAAGAAGAGTTAACCCTTAGAATCGATCGATGAGCTGGATTAACAGCGTCCACTGGCACTTTCTACGGATGAACAGGATATGACAAGGAAATACTAATCCTGTATTGTACTTCTAGATCTTCATTCTTCATTCAGATCTTCATTCATATCTCATTCATTGTCTATATCTGAGAAGCTTGAGAATGCTAAGGAACGTGACCAGAAGCACCAACCGCCCACACAAGGTCAAGTGGACCACCCTGCTCAACCAAGTGAATTGAACTCAGCCCTCGCAAAGGACAAAAGCAGGATGTTGTCTGTTGATCTGTGCTTCATTTAAGTGCTGCTCAACGATCTTGCTTAGATGCTGGCCATGCATGCATGATTCATGCATGCAAGCTGTTTCTTGGAATGATAGGACACAGGCGATGCATCGGATGACATTCGTGGATCTCAACTCCATCGAAATCGTGCACGCTGCTCTCCTTTAGGCTAAACAGCCAACTTGCTAGTAAGAGCGCAGCTCTCTTAGAGACGCTAACTGCGTACAGAAAATTGGCGCTTGCGCGCCTGAGATACCAGAGGTGAGACGCGTAGGGTTTAATTGCTCAATCAATAGGGCAGCTTGTTGTCGCCCACGCAAAGTCACAAAACAAGCTTTCAGATCATGCGTTGATCATCAGCTGCCCACGGTCCTCCAAGATAGCCGCGCACTCCGAGAGGAGACTCTTTATTTCCTTGTGCTCAAGGCATCAAATACCGAACAAGGTGTCGAGCTCAAATTAGCAGGAGGACATCAATTGCGCCAGGGTAGTTTCATGCCGCATGTAAAGAAACCAAAGACAGCTAACAGGTGGAAGACTCATTGCATCATTTCAAACGAACGTACCATTTCAAACAACCACTTTTGAGTCACAGAGTTTGCCTCGTCAGCCAAGTTGCTGCCTGCTGTTGCCGGCTATACCGTGGCTTCTTCCCCTCCCGCAGCACATCCGCAGCTGTTGCCAGGCAGTGTGCCAAAGGGAAGTCCTGCGACGAAGTGTCTTTAAAGCTGAGGGGGGAACATGCTGCCTCCCAAACCTGAGCCCAAAAATCCAGCACGAAAACACCATCCATGAAAACCATTGCCTACGGTGGAGTCACTTTAAAGGTTTGCTCCTCCTTTGGTTCCCAGCTGAGCTGCATGTTTCGCGCGCAGCTCTGCAGCACGGCCCCCAAGCCCCCCGCTGGGCACTGCTTCGCGGCAGCCGTGAGGAGGCCTTGCCTGGAGTTGCCGTTCTGACCCGCTGAGGTTTCAACTTCTTTTGCTTTTGGGCTGCAGATTAACCCAAACGAGAGGAGTTCCACTCCAAGGAGAACTTTGAGGTGTCACGATGTCCATCCAGGCAGTCGGGGATCCTCTTTAAAGGCAGGACTGTCGGGATCCTCTTCAAGGTGGCACGCCCTCCGGCCGGCTTGCATCCATGAGACTGTGGCCTCGCTTTCTTGGGATTGGCCAAGGTGGAACCCAAGATGAGGAACCAAGCTTGTGGACAAGCAACTAGCTATCATCAATTTGTCCTCGCCGATTTAAGCATGCTTCGTCACAGGTGCGTCCGGTTGGAAAGTCAGCATCGCTAAATATGGCAAGCGGGTGCAACGTCGACACTGTTCGCGTGATGAAACCTCCGGCATGATGCGCCAACAAGCTGGGTCCACAAAGGCCACAAAGGTCAAGAATAAGGCCTCATGATTGGTCTTCCGATGTCACACCTTTCCTTCCATGCCAAGGCCATCTGGGCTAGACTCTCTCCACTTCGGTCGTGACACGCATGATGTTTCGCTTCGGCGTGCGCTGGGGCCAAGAACGGAACACGCCTGGCCTGCACAGCAACGGCAGTGCTGTGTCTGCCGGCCGCAGGATGGTGGCAACCCTGGCGGCCTCCGCTGCAGCCGACCACAGAGGCAAGGAAAACTGTGGCTCCCCCAGCTTGGTGTGGCGGAGGATGTCATGTGCTCCTTGGTACTGTGGCAGTGGCATCAACGGCAGCCAGCATTAACTGCAAAATTGTTTTTGGCACTGTGTAGTCAATAAGCCCTTTTTGCCTTATCCATATTCATCTTACGTGCTGGGGAAGACAGTAAAGGGCAACGTGTCAATTCCAACGCCTGAGAGTGTCTGTTAGGCATAACTCCATCTGACGCCTGTCTGTAAGTGCATGTGCGCGGCGTGCTAGTGACAGGAACCATATTTCCTCAACATGCCATAACGCACGCGTAACGCGAGTGCCGCACATATTCGCATGCGCAACGCACGTGCCACACTGACTGTAACCAATGCATTGTGCCGCAAGGGTGACCCCTCCCCCCCCTTTACTTCTCGCAAAAGCACGTCGCAGCACATCTGGCGGGCCCTTCAGCAGCAACTGCCTGAGCTTGGCTTTGGGCTTCAGCTTGGTCTCTTCGAGCCCCTCCAGTGGCGACAGCACGGGCAAGATCTTCAGGTCGGTAGCCTTGAGAAAAGCTTCTCGGGCACAATGGAGCAAACCCTGTTGGACAGGAAACATGTGGAACTCAGGGCCAGAGATCGGATCTAAGCCTGAAAAATGTTACGGTCCTGGAACCTGCTGCTCGATGTCATTAAGTGGTTTCTGACAAGGGTATTCAGAAGGGCCTTGTTGATGTGCCCGTTGTTCCACATAGCTTTCCAAAACTCGTCCATGAGGAAGGCGACGTGGACATCCCCATCAAAGCGCCACAGAAACCAAGGCTCAGTCAGAGCGGAGGCCAACGCAACGCCGGCATTCCCACCTGGGCCCAGCAAGAAGTCATAAAAATGCCAATCTGGTTAAAGGCACCATGCTTTCCAAAAATCAGCCGTTTTTCAAGTCTTTGCGTGGTTTTCTAGAAAGAAGGATGGAATTTACTCCTAGAATGCCAAAAGAAACCTCTTGAGTCAATGCCGTAGCCTGACGCCAGTACTCACAATACATGCTTTGTATAAATCTCCTGGCATGCTGTGTAGACAGGCTTTCTTTCGGCCTATGCCCAATATTGCCCGGGCACATTCACATAGGCGATGCAATATCATCCTGGAGACGTGCTCGCCTATAATTCCAGTTTCGGTGAGTGCCAGCCACGCTTTGGTGCAGCGCTCCATGTCAAAACGAGTCTTCGCTGAGCCATCATCATTGAGTGGCCGAATCGAGCGGAGCAGTTTTAGCAGGTCAGAGTCCTTCATTATCTTTGCTTTGGCCAGCAACCTGAGCTCGGGAAGCCAAGCCAAATAAAGGCTGGAGGTGTCATCAGTCATGTACTGCAACCGAAGCGGTCAACGTGGTGTGAGTTGTCGTAAGCATTGAGTGCTCGAAGGCACGGATTGCCCTGCAGCCATGTGTTGCCTCCTTGCACAAAAAGGATGACAAGTGTAAGAAATCGCTGCCAAATGCGGGGCTGCAGCTCATCATCCCATATGCCCATGCCTAGTTGAGAGCTCCGCAGGACTCCCAGGTTGAAGTCCACCTGAGCAAGCGCAATCAATTTCCCGAAGGAGCTCTTGTCACTGGCTCACATGTCCACTGCGCGGGTCAGGCTGTGGCAACCCTGTTGCCTACTAGGACAAAGTGGAACAGCGACGAGACATCTCACAACAGCCTCGCCACTAATATGAGGCCAACGTAATCACTGCCAGCTGAATGACCTGATTCCGCTTCAACCAGCAGTTTGGCACCCTGCCTGATCCGCAGGATATTCCCACGGGACGACGGGAAGGCAAATCTGGCCGGCTTTGAGCAACTTCCGCACAAGCAGAATTTGCCGCATGGACTTTTTGACCTTGGCCATTCCGAACGGCTAAGGGTTGATGGATGTTGGAAGCAAAGGAGGCGCCATGAATTGTGCAAATGGTGTAACAAATAAGTAGCTCAATTACTTGTCAATTTGTTTGATGCCTGTGGCTGATCCTCTTGCAACATCAATCCAGTCGGCCAGGACCATAACTATCTTCATTAGGCTCGAAGGCTCCGGGCATCTACAAGGTTTTAAATGTTCTAAATCATGATTACAGCAAGATTGCTTCTGTCACAATAAACTTGTGAATTAGCAGGCTTAAGGCTGCCAGTTTGTGGGAGCGGTTCTTTGTCGGAGTTCCTCCCAGCAGCGGGCAGGATACAGGCATATGTCCGAAAATTCACATTGCAAACATATCATGGTGTACAAGTGGACAAGCTGGTAAGGATGAGGCAAATAGGCAAGTACTGCAGTGTCCTAGCTGATATGGGAACACGAGCCAGGCCTTCCCCAAAAACACATGCATATCTGATATATGCAACTTGCCCCATCTGCCTCTTGCGGGCAAATTCGACAGGCATCATGTCACCTTGTTGCCAACCATGTCTTCCCATGCCCACCAACATCCACCAACTGACAAGCCTAACATGCTTCATGGCCGCTTTTCCTTTGACAAAAAGAAGAGCAGGAAGTGAAACCTTCAATAGTCGCAATGAGCACTCGCTTATCGTGATTTGAGCACCCTGCTTGTCCCGGGTACAACATACACCTTTGTCATGGCAACACAGACTGGTTGTTTTGCATATTGCGGGTACTCTGGAAGCATTTTTGGCTCGTTTTGCCTCCCTGGTAAGGGAAGTGGCTTGCACATGCCACTTCACGCCATGCTTTACAGCCGCCAGCCATGGGTCCGCCAGAAAGCACTGTTGCTTTTTGTTCTTCGGGGGGGGGAGGGCGGGATACCCTGATTGACATCCTCAAACATGTGGCCTTGACGCCGAGGCTCCACAGTCACTAGCTCAGTGCCGGCGAGGCCAGGGTGGCTTTGGGCCAAAGCCAGGAGCTTTGGAAGCCTCTCCTCGATGTGGACACGGAAACCCCGGGCATGTGGAAAGGGATCCGGGCCTGAAACAGTTCAGAATTTCAGAACTTCAAACAAGAACTGCAGTTCCACCAATTATGTGAAACATCAACCCTCCCGTTTGCAAGTACAAAGTGGCTCGTCTGCCTGTCCGAGGCCAGTGTGGGCACGAAGCCTTCCTGCCCTCAAATCCCAAAGCATGGTGGCAGCTCTGTGTTCTGAGCTTCCGTGTTATCACACCCAAGTGTTGAATGAAGTTGGCCATTGTCAACTAAGCCAATGGCATCTCAGGGCTGCAAGTGGTTGGGCAAGCTGGGGCTTTTTCCCTCAAGCCTTCTGCTATGGGGCCAAGATTCAGCATCACCCTTGGCAAAGGCCTGGCGAAGCTGGTGCTGCACATCCTCTGCTTGGAGCCTCTGCCGGGCTCCCTCCAAGCCTTAGCTGATCAACGGCCAGGGCGACCGGTCCCTCCGCTCCGTTATGCTCCGCTAGCACCATGTTCTGTCGAACCTTGCGCGCTGCAAGACTTGGTTGTTTGGTCAACTCATTCAAAGCCCTCACTTTAGGAAGGGAGCTAAACGTCGGAAATTGAACTTCCAGGTAGTCCAGCTGGCGAAGGCAAGCTTTGCGGTGCTTGACGGCATGCGACCCGCCATGTGAAGAGCATCTCCGCATCGTTGGCATTTGGATCACATGGCGGTCTGAGCCAAACACTGCCATATGCGCAACCTTGATTTGGCGTGGCTGCCCTTCAAACGTGCTTGGATTTCACTCCGTGCAGCTGCGGCGATACTATCGCGCGAAAGAAACTCCACCAAGGTCAATCACACGTTCCAACCACGCTGGGTTGAAGCCTCAAAAGACTGGGCAGGAACTCTGCTGCTGACCTATCCCCCCCCCCCCGGCCTGTGCACTCGGGGGCGGTGCATGTCATCATGCTGTCCTCCATGGACCAGGGCCAATGGATGGAGCCGCCGTTTGAGAAGGATGTGACCTGCGTGCATGGCAACCAGCAGGTGGAAGCACACCAGAGTGTGCATCGAGGGTGGAAGAAAGGTAAGAGGAAAAGCGGCAAAGGGACCATCAGCGACCAAAACCCCAGCAGCAGCAGCGGCGGCGGCAGCAGCAGCAGCATCAGCAGCAGCAGCCAAGATCAGAAGCAGCGCTTAACACAAATAAAGCTGCAACAGCTGCGACACCACCAACTAAGGGGTTGCTTTTGCGGGGTTCAATCGTTTGATTACCCCAAGATAGACTTAAACTCTCTGGTTACGTTGAGGTAGTCAAACCATGGAAGCATGTTTGGCACTGTTTCCTTGCACCCGGACCTTTTGCCTTGTTTCGCTGAACGTGCCTTGGGCCAGCATGCGTTCACATCGCAGTCTGCCTCTACTGCCCGTGGCAGCCACACCAAGTCTTTGCCACGGGAGGCAGTGAGGCTCAGCAAAGGCACCTCGCTGGCAGGGATTCTGGCTAAAAGGGTAACTTTGTAAGCAACCAGGCGACTTGTCTGGGAATGCCTAGGGCCACGGGGGCCAACTCTAGAACACTGAATGTCCACCTGATGCAATGCACATACAATCCTTTTGAGCTTGGAGAAGCATAGGCGCCTCTTGGATGTCTGCCAGCCGTTTTGAGTACACCTTGCACCGCCTTGCACACCTTCCCAGTAACGCTTGCCCCAGCGCCAGCTCAGCTTCACGCCACCAAGAGTGTGAAGATGGCACTGCCGGCATCAAAGCCTTGGCTTTGGCTTCGGGCCCGGAGCAGAACCATCGCTAGCTGTGGCAACAGGATGCAAGAGGCTCTGTCTCAAGTCAAGGTCCTACGGCAAATGGCCAGGACTGAAACTGCACACAGGTTTAAGCTGTCCTTGCACGTGCGAATGAAACAGCAAGGTGATGCTGGACAATCAGAGCGACTGCGCGGCTTGCTGGCCGGCCACGAACTTTGTTCATATAGAAATCCACATCGCGATTGGCCTACGCAAGCCAGGCTGGATTAATGATCGATCTTTATTGAAACGGGAGCCCACTCCTTATCGCAGGTTGTGCGATCAGTAACAAACCTGTTCTGAAGCATGACTTCCGGTGTCAACGATTCATGCGCCAAGCATGCTGAAACTTGGAGTACTCATCTGCAGCAGTCATCAGCGCAAGATCACTTGATTACTTAGTATTACTTGTTTCCTAGGCTATCAATCTTTGACCATCCTCTTTTGCTCATGCATTTCTGAAGGGCATAAAAAGCTGCCTCAAACTCCCCTTTGTCCATCCAATCACTGCACTGAGATCGTTGTCAAGTGTTTATTTGTGGCGCACCGACAAACCACCGGATGCGCATCATTGAGCATGCCGTTGCCTCAAGTGGGAAATGGCCCCGGCCTCGTAGATACCCTGCGAGACCAAGGCCTGCACAACCAAACGTGAAGGGCGCTTGTGCGGGAAGAAGTTTGGAGCATGTGCGACACCACATGTGTCATGTGTTGCGCACTTGTGTTGCACCTTGTGTGTGCTGCGCAGTTCGAATTCCCGCGGGTCACCGACCAACCAACCAATCCCTCGGGCTCAAAAGTGCCAAGAACCTGGACAGCTCGAGTTGTGGACTTGAAGACTTGCATGAGAGCATGACACCCATGACAACCCTTGTCTCTATCCTTCTCACTTAAGCCATGCTGAAAGTCCGTGTGCACATGGCTCCGTGTGGCATCCTTACAGCTGTCAATCCTTGCAAGGGTCTTGAAGGGCGGATGACGATCCTTTCGATGAGATGCTTTCATGGCACTTGGCCGAGTCGCCTGGATGGCAGCGGTGACTGCGCCAAGAATGCAAAGGATCAACGGCAGCATATTGCTCATCGCCTGCCACGGCGCGACGTGTGCGATCGTGTGTGCAGCTTGCAACCAGGACACATTCAAAGGTCAACCGCCGACCCACAAGCGATGCTTCAAGACCAGTGAGCAAATTATTGACATGCGCTGCCTGACATTCATTGGAGCAAGCTTGTCCAAAACCGGGGTAGCACCTAGCCAACGTCAACAATCTAGGGCCTCGTTATATCCCCCCCTGCCGCTTTGCGGTGGCATACGGCCGCTTCACCAAAAAACATCAAACAATACGGCATTGCCGCATTGCCAGCCAACATCTGGCGTACTTCTGATCTCATGCGATGGGCACGTCAACACATGTCCAGCAACATTGACGTCCGTCCAAACGCTGCTTGGCGCGCCTTCCCTAAGCCCTCTTCGAAGTCGTAGATCCTTGCTCCGTCCGCTTGCTCGCCGCTCGCTTCAGCCACACACTCAAGCTGAACATGATAAGCAGTTTGACAGCCTTGGCAGCCCTGACCCTTGGGGATTTCGCATTGCAGGGATGTGATTTTCGTTCACCCAGCCATCATCCAGGTCCCATGTCCCTCTGAGCGTCTGAAGCCACAGGAAGGCAAAGGTTCCCAGTGTCAGGATGATCACCGCGAACCATTCCACTGGCTGCCTGCGGCTTCCAAGAAAGCTGTGAAGGCGCTCGCAACACCACCTCACGTGCTCGCCAAGTACTCCCTCCTGCGTTTCTTCAGGATCAAGCGCTCTCCAACCGCCAGCACTGGCGTGTACACCTGGCTGCGGCCAGGTGTACATCGGTGTCGCATCTGGATAACGATAGCGGAGGAAAACAGGTCATGCCATTCGTGTTGTACAAAGAGGAGAGCCAACCATTTGGACAAGAGAAGTGCGTCTGTTCAAGATACCGCCGGTTTCAAGCAGCCTCCAGGATGTTAAATTTTTACTTGCCACTGCTGCCCATAGACGAGTGTCCCAAATGCCAAGTCAGCATGCTCAAAAAACCAAGCAGTTGACATACGCGGACACACACACACACACACACTCACACGTGTTCTTTTAAGTCATGCATCCGACATCGAAACAAATCATCCCAAGACACCGGCCTTTCCAAGAACTGCTGCCATGGATGGGGACAGACCAAACGCATAGGCCATGTTGCCTCAAATGCTCGAGCATTAAGGCATTAAGCAGTATTTATTTTGCACGTGGACAAATAGCTGCGCAATACATCATGTATTTACACAATACAACATAACTTGCTGGCAAGGCTCCCAAGCACATAGTCACCTTGGTGGCGCAACATGCAAAGGTCAATGATGCGGATGATCTATATTCGAAATATAGGGCAACAGTCCAGCAACACTCCCTGAAGGATCCTATGCGAGTTTTGCTTGTCCTTGCAGAAGTCTTCAGGGTGCCGCGGGAACTTACCCTGCATCATTAAGCAGCTTTTGCCTTGACTGAAATTATGAAACTGGTAGGATGGAGCCTTAACCAAGTCAACAGACCCCCAAAGATTTCATGCTCTCTGCCTGAACAAGGTTGGCGAAGCTCCCTGCATGCTCTCGGCCTCTCCGTTTGTCGGAGTTTGGCTTCAATAGAGTTATTCGTTTGAGGCATCGGCACAGACCAAGCATTCAGGGTCAAACACGGTTCGAAACCTTCTTGGAAAATCCTTTCTGCACGCGGCGTAAGTTTGGAATTGGTCGCGCAGGCTTCTGTGAGGTTGATCGCTAGTTCAACTGCGGCAGCTTGCAACACTTTCAGCATCTCTTTGACACGTCTACTGTTCATGACTTTGAGCTTCTGATTCCCTGAAGGTCGAACAACCCGAGCTGCTGCCGAGCTGCTGCCTGCAGCATGGAAGAGTTCCCGTACTCAATGATCTTCCGGATGCTCCAGGCTTGCTTCAGCCCTTTCCCTGACCTCAAGCTGTTTGGGATGCAAATCGCCAAGCATGGGCCGTTATGGGCCGTTGGAAGCAATAAGCAGCGGCTCAGGCGGCTGAAGTGGGCGGCTTCAAGCCCAAACACGATGAGGGACACGTGCCCGCATTCACTCCCCACTATGGCAGTAGCTTGATTGAACGCATGATTGTTTGCTAAAATCATGAGGGCGAGATCAAGCAGCAAAATCTGAAGGCCAAGCTGCTCGCTCTCACCAAGCTCCTGGTTTTGCAGGGGCTGCCTTCTTTCTTGCATTCACATGGAAGCAGAACCACAAAGGAGCAGTCAGTTTGGCAGGAATGCTCAGAATGGGCAGGCTCAACCCGGAAGGGCATGGGATATGGCCTCACCGTGCTCACCTTCCTCTCACGTGCCATCGTGCACAACTTCCCGTCCTCATCGGCCTTCGCGCATCCGAGGCCATGAGCTCTCCAAGTCATGAGGGATGCAAACACAAGTCCTGCGCAAGGGCCACCGCAAGGGCCACCGCAAGGGCCACCGCAAGGGCCACCGCAAGGGCCACCGCAAGCAAAGATGTCTTTCAAGATGGGTCTCAACGTTGGCTTCTCAAGCTCGCAACATCCCTGGCCGAACTGTGCAAGCCATTGCCCAGACCCTTGTCCTACAAGGAACGTCAGGAAGGACATGGAGTTCGGATTGATCTGCGAGCCTCAGGCATGTGCCATGCCTGTCATCAAACGCTGAGTCTGACAAGCTGCTCTTGCCACACCATCCCATTTGCACTGCGTAAAAGCGACAAAAATAATGGCGCTTGGATTGGGTGCAAACCAAAAAAAAACCTCTGACACTGCAGCACATGTAAACAACGCACACGCACATGCAATCGCGCATACAACTAGTGGGTGTAAGTAGCAACCTGACACGAGTTGAGGCACTAGCGGGGCAAATGTGGGCCCTCACACACGCTCCAGAAAGCGACGTTACAAATCAGTAGCAGTCAAACTGTCTATCCCGTGCTCTGATTTCTTGATGGCCTATCTGAAGGAAGCCGCCTGCCCTCAGCTTCCATGAGCCACGGGGGTCAGTGAGGCCAATGCTGGCAGTTGCGGCGCATACTGTCCCAGGCCAAGAAGCTGGACAATGCGTAGGAGTTCAGCAAGGTGCGAGTGGTGTCAGTTGCTGCGTAGACCTCGGCATTGCCTCCAAGGCATGGACTACGTTGCACATCCATTTCAGAGTAAACTCGGCAGTTGATTGCAGGTACCTGTAAGCTATGACAAGAGCCATCTCTCTCAAATGAGCATGACGACTTGAGAAACCCACCAGCAAGCACCGTGCCCTTCCAGTTTTCCTGTAGTTGTATTCCCTATGTAATTAATTACCCCTTACATAAGGACAGCCAAATCCAGGCATTTCTGGCACTGCAACTTCTTGTCGGAAGCACATGGTTAATCCCACACGCATCTATTGCAAAACCATCACTTGTGCTTGCAACGTTTTGTGGCAAATGCTAAATATTGACGACGCAGCCGCTGCAGCCTCCACTTCACGCCCAATTGCTCCCAGAAAGGAAGGCTACACGAAAACGAGCTGAGATTTAGGTCCAAACCCTGCTTGCCCAGTGTCTGAATGGCGCTCAGAGAATCTTCTAGCACAAAATTGGTCATTAGTTTGGGGCTGCCGTCAGGACATGGGACAGAGGAGTCATGACTCATGACCGTCATAATTTCGGATTGCATGGAGGTACAGCATGCAAAGATTTCCAGATACAGATTTTACTGTCCCTGCGTGCGTTTCCCAAACCTGCGCTGTGCCGGCGGGAATTGGAGCCTTAAGTTCTGAGCCACCGGAGTCCCCGATTCGCGACTTAGAGTTGCATGTGCATTGGGGCGTAGGGCACGCGGAAGAACGTCACAGCAGTCTGAATGAGCAGGCCGGTCACAACAACCGACAAAAACCGAACAAATCCCAAGAAATTGTGCATAAACACAACTTTGGGTACCTCACAGGGGTCCACTACTTGAGAAGGGGAGACACGAAAGGTAGGATACCGTAAAGTGATTCGCCCATGGAACGTCCCGAGACAAAGTCTAGAGGTGTTGGGACTAGAATTGAAGTACCCCAGCAGCGCATGAGTGTGCATAGCCCACTACGGGTGTCTCATACTAAGTGACTTACCTAGGTGGACCGGCCTTGAGACGAAACGGCAAAATCGTGCGAAAAGCGGACCGAAGTGTGAAGCGAAGCAAGCGAAAAGGGCGAAGAGAAGACCGGAGAGGAGCGAAGACGTCAGGCAGGCGCCAGAGGGCGGACCAGGGGAGAGTCGAAGGGGGGAGGGGGGGAGCCGATATTTTGTTGGTGTCGCGGCCGGGCCGACCCCCAGACCCCCTCAGTCTAGCCTTGCTAACGCAAGGACAAACTCAAGCTAGAGGCTACCTTTCGTGACATGTATCCCTTAAAGTTGGAGCATCCGTTATATGTGAGCATCACCTTACCAGCACCAACATGACAACCCGAGCAGCAAAGCAAGTCCCAATTGAGCCGTGCCGAATACTCTTGTGTAAAAAGCGGTCCTATGAACTTGCTTTCGCGGACGCTTTCGCGACCCAATGTTTTGCTTCCGCGGGCTTCGTTTTCTTTAGAATTGCTTTCGCGGCGCTTTTGCGGCGGACTGTCACACCGCAGCATCATCAGCATGCAGGCGTTCGCGGGTCTTTCGCGGTGGGACCTTCTTTAGTTACTTTCGCGATAAGCTTTCGCAAGCTTTCGCGGCCTGCGTTCTGGCTTTCGCGGGGATTCTATAGGACACCCCCCTTTACTAACTTATATTGTCAGGGTTTATGGCGCTGCTCAATTGGCAATCCTGCTTTCCAGCAACCTTCAAAATCGCGCAAGTTCATCGCTTCAGTCTGTTCAATGCATTTACACCGCCTGCAGCCTTCCACCGCACCTTTCTCAGTGCCAGAAGGCCTCAGGCCCGTGCCAGCGATATGATCATCATCTGCGAGTCCATGCCGGACCCTGCCTTCTCCGGCGGCTGCTCTTCCTTCCAAGGACCATCGGACGGCTTATTGGCTTTCTCTCAAGGCAACACCCGCTTCAGAAGGGACCCAGGGTTGCTTGCTACTTTATGCCACAAGCCAGGCCGCCACCTACATGCGACTTCGACCACACAAGTACACTTTTGACTTGGTGCCCGGCCGGTGCATCCGGCTCGCCCTTCCACTTCCGATCGTAGCCTCAGTTTGCTGGACACGGCAGGGCGACCCTGCATTAAAGGCCAACGTGGCTGGCCCAATTCTGCCAAGTAACATCCCAGCCAAGGGCTATTGCACTGCCACCAGGGGCTGTCATCCTCTTCGTCCTCTGCCTCAAAATCGCTGAAGACCTGACGCATGTTGCAAACATGTCAGACGCACGTCCAAACGAGCAGCTCTTCTGAAAAGTGCCGCGAATCGCAAACCTGTTGTGGTGCAAATGCTCCCTTTTGCAACTCCCCACTCACGCCTCTCTCAAGGATGATATTGAAGTCAAGAGGTGCGCTTTAGACGCGTGCTCTCACAGGGCGGAAGTTGCCAATGCAGAACGCTCGGAAAAGCTTCCAGTGCACGCCTTGATACGCAAGTAGTAAAAACGGCGACCATGGTGACCGAAGCATGACTTCGGTCTTGCTGCAAGCTATGAAAGATCTTCTTGGCAAGGCTTCGCTCCACAGTTTGGACCCCAACAGCTTTGCTCAAGCTTCGGCATGCTTCGTGTGGTGCGGCCTTACTCTTCATCCGAGGCAGTTCAGACACGTCGATCACTCTGAGCTTACGCTCATCCTCGTAAACCTCTGCTGTCCTGGCGAGTGTAGTGAGGGCCCCATTCAGAATGCGAACCCTCCCACTAGAAGATAATCAGTTGGAGCTGCGGCGCTCCTTCGCCCAAAGCAACCTCCGGTGCCTTCTGATCCTTCCAAAACACCTGATTTCAACATATTCAGATCTTGGCCAAACAAATGCGCGTGCTTGATCCTCATGCCACGCCTGCAACGAGCCTGCAACCCGGGTCCTGAATAGCATGAAGGACATATAAACTATCATCGCCAACATGAGTGATGGCCCCATGCGCACGCCGAAGTTGTACCTCAGCTTGGTTTCTTTATGGGCTACAGCATCGC